TGAATGTTAATAAGATAATAACGAAAGGAAAGAAGACTAAGTAGAACAGAAACTTGGTTTGAAAACAAAGGAACCGATGCAAAAATAAGGGGACTAAAAGAAAGTAAAATAAAAGACATGCGTAGAAAAGAGAAATGGTCTGATGAAAAAAATATTTCAATAATCAGAAAATATTAAAATTTTAGATCTTTCTCCGTTGAATTTAACATATCAACTAAAGTTTCTGTATTGTATTTCAGAAGTAAATTCGATTGTATCTTCCATATTGTTTAGTCTATTTACGCTATCAGCTTTCCGTACATAATTATAACCGACCTTTACGTTTATGTCTCCGCTTACATATATATCCCCACTTACAGATATATTTTCAGGTAACACTGTTTTGCAGAGATATATGAAAGAAAGTAATTTATTCCGAAAGTACTTTACAAAGGCGAAAAGGCATAGAAAGTTCACTGAATCTTCTACAGTAAATCTATGCCCTATACTTACGATATTTCACCTTTTTTAAAAAAAAAAATATTGTTATTTAAAACAACAGCAATACAAACAAAAGCTTTTGAAACCCGAATGAAATCTAGGAACACAAAAAATGTTAAAAATTTACCGTTCCTACAAATTTAGCGTCAGCTGTCTGTACATAATGATAACCGACGTTTACGAGTATGTCTCCGCTTACATATATATCCCCACTTACATATCTCCATTTATATATATATATATATATATATATATATATATATATATATATAAAAAAACAAACAAAAATCCTAAAATGCAATTATGCTGTTTTAATGTTAATATAATGTCAACGTCCGACGTTTCGGTCTAGTAGACCATCTTCATGACATATTCATAAAACACAATTAACATTACATTTTCAAAACATCGCCCACGTGACGCCGACGTGATCATATTGAAACGGAACGCTGATCTTGAAACATTTCAGTTGATGTTTTGATTAGTCTTACTCTTATGTCCATCGTCTTTTCATGTTTAATTAAATATAGTCTAATGTTAATTATGTTTTATGAATATGTCCTGAAGATGGTCTACTAGACCGAAACGTCCGACGTTGACATTATATTAACATTAAAACAGCATAATTGCATATTAGGATTTTTGTTTGTTTTTTCCGTATATTTTTCTTCATACTGTCGGATCTATATCCATATATTTGCTTACCCCCACCACACACAAATATATATATATATATATATATATATATATATATATATATATCCTCTTAAATACGTATCTCCCCTTACATATATATAACCGACGTTTACGTTTATGTCTCCGCTTACATATATATCCCCACTTACATATATATCTCCATTTATATATATATATATATATATATATATATATATCTCTTAAATACGTATCTCCCCTTACATATATATAATCCCATCAATGAAAACATTACTTTAGTAATTCGTCTGTTTCATAAATATTCTGATTTAGGGCTTCTATGCATTTAGATATTCTTGATAACTTACAAAGAACAATCTTCAATATTATTGATTCTGATCTGGCATTTCAGCTTCAGTCACTTTCCCACTGTCGTCACGTACTTTACCTGTAATTTTTCTGATGAAATTTCCTTTCATAGATAATCTGAGGTATTATAGTGGTTGAAGTAAGAATGGTAAGTATGTGTTGTTTTTGTGTAAGGAAGACTGTGGTATCTTTGGGTTAGTAATTGTAGCTCACTAAGTTTAAGATATGACAGCCTTCTCCTATCCATCTTTTTGGACTTAGACAAGTTTTTTGTATTTTCAAAATAAATATTATTTTCCTCTATCGTACCTAGACTTTATGAATTTAAGCGCAGTACTAGATTGGTGGCAATGTCCCATAATCTTACTGCTGAAATGGCTAGATATAACCGCAAGATCTATGCTAATAGTTTCTTCTCAGTCAATTTACGTTTGTGGAACTCTCTTCAGGTTTATTGCTTTCCACACAAAACTGATCTTCAAAAATTTAAATGCAATGTTAATCGTTATCTTTTGTTTACTTAATGCTTGTTCATTCTATTGTTCTCTCTCCTTAATAATGTCGTATTCCCATATTATCCAAGTAAACTCTTGCGTCTTAGTGGCTTTATTGCCTTGCTTATGTTGAAATGATTAACAAAAAATTAGTCCGATGATGTCCTTTAGGAGGTGGAAACATGTTTCATAGAATATTTAATTTTGGATGGATTATTTATCCGGCATTATTTTTTATAGACGTTATTTTTACAGGAGACAGATATTTGAGTTTCTTGCCCTCATTTTTAATTTATTTTATTAAACAGTGAAATTAGAGAGAACCGGCCTGAGAATACCAATTAAAGAAACAGTGTGCCTCCGACTGGAATCGAACCTCCATCTCGATTTCTATCAGTCAAATCGCTACTGTAGCAGAAATGTGCCGCGACGAGGTATATATCCCTTAAATGCATAATTTTAATCTTGCTCTAACAACGGGCCCCACCACCCGTGACTGAATTGGTAAAGACATTTTTCGTTTATAATAGTGGTTTCCTTCAGAGAACAAAGGGATAAAAGTTCGATTCTTGTTGGAGGACTTCTCTATCAAGGCTGGTTGCAATCAGTTTTTCTGTTTAAGAAAAAAACAAAAAAAATATCAAGTATAGCAACTGAAATGTATATACCCACTAAAGATAACAGTTAATAAGAAATAGAATATATATATATATATATATATATATATATATATATATATTATATATATAATTATTATTTATAAAAAAAATAAGTAAGTATTATAAAATCACTACAAAAATAGCCATTTTGTTTCAACACACTCGGTGTCTTATCAAGTGATGATGTTGAAGATAAAAATATATATATATATATATATATATTATAAATTAACATGTTTCAAAAACCGAAGCTATAAACCTGAGGTTTTTAGCTTGTTTTTGAAACATGGTAATTCCTGTGTAGCGATAAAACCATATTTTAAATCAGTTAATTTATAATATTTATGCTCTGTAAATTTACATTGAGCACTATTTTGTAAAAATAAAAATATCAATAAGAACACCGGATTATATATCTTATTTCTTTTCTTTTTTTATTTTTATTATATATATATATATATATATATATATATATATATATATATATATATATATATCAAACCCACTTTATTCAACTGTGGGAATGGTGTGCTGAAAGTTATTTTTTAATAGAAAGAATAGAAAGAGAGTCGCTTAAATTACAGCCGAGTTCAACATGTGAAGTCTCAGAATAAACGCTTTTTCTAGTTTTCGAAACAATACAAAAACGCATCTTAACCCTTTGAGCCTTGACCACCGCTTTATCGGTGGTAGAGAAAAATGACGTAATGCCCAGATACCGTTTGAACAGTGGCAGAGAAAAATGACTTAACGCTCAGTCACCGGTTGAACGGTGGTAAAAAAAACTTGCGTCATTTTTTGCCGTTGGTTGTCTTATTTTGAAGCGGCAATCAGAAAAACCTTAAATATTCTGATGCCATCGAACGTTATGCCAAGATGTCTGTCCCTTTTCATTGTGTTTTGTGCATGTGTTTTGGATATAAAAAAAAGGGGGTCGTTTTTATCATGGAGCGTGCAGAGTCTCAACGTGGACCGACAGGGAAGCAAACAGGGACAATACGTGCGAGAAACGATCTCTATACGACGCAGCAAGTAATTGAATTTTGATTCATCATCTCAGGCAGAAGGGTTAAAATTGTTCAGGAGCGCAGGACTCAAAAGGTTGAACAGCCAAACATGAAGAGAAACTAACAACACACCAAAACAAAAGCACTTGAAAAATGGCTTATTGTTCTCTCTTACACCCAACAAATGAATAAAAATTGTAAGAACGCTGGAAAAACACAATACAAAAATTAATTAAATTTTCATTGTTTGCCATATTCAACGAAACATGTATAAAATAAAGATTGCAGCTCAAATATCCATTATATATATATATATATATATATATATATATATATATATATATATATGTATGTATAGTATTTTCCGGCTCATAGAACGCAGTTTTTTTCCGAAAAAATATCTTGAAATATACGTTTGCGTCTTCCAAGATGAATGTAAGGCAACGTCCAGGCTCAAATAAGATTAAACGGCCACTAAATTGGTTTGACTGATAGGGACGTAGATTTGTATGTTGAGTCATTACACTAAAATGTTAGCTATCTATCTAATTCAGTCTTTTATATGATGTAACATCAGTACTTGGCTGTTACAAGTATTTCCAAGAATATAAACCTTCCTGGAGCCGAGCCACAAACTTAACATGCTCTGTTTGCTAACAGCGGCGGAAGCCTTTCTGCTCTTGACTAGTATGTGATTGCCATGCAAACAAAATCGGACGAGTTATTAATGAAAACAGTACGTAGCGCCAGTATGTGAGAAAGGCCTGGAGAGTGTGTTGTTGCATGAGAATGACTATTTTTTTTTCTTAGAAATTATTTTCCAATATAAGGGTGCGTCTTCCAAGCCGTAGTGTAATGTAAGCTGGAAAATACGGTATCCCAGAGTTATATAAATAAAGGATGACAGATATATTGTAAATATGTTGTGACCAACAAAACTCCTTGTAACACCAAAGATGGACTGAAGGCAAGGATTATGCCAGCAATCACCAACTTAAACAAGGAGACAGTTCAAAACAATTGCAGTTCCAATGGCGCTTTTATTGAATAAATTTACTCACTATTATTTCAAGATATTTTTGAGTAATTTTGGTAAATATATCTGCTAAATTATATATATATATATATATATATATATATATATATATATATATATATATATCGGTGTATATATATTTAGATAGGTGTGGAGAGATAACTTGGTTTATATATCCATAATAGTTAGGGAAGTATATATATATATATATATATATATATGTATATATATATATATATATGTGTGTGTGTGTGTGTGTGTGTGTAAAGACAAGAACGGAGGTAACAAAAAAGAAAAATAATTAGAAAGAAGAAACAGAAAAGAAGTAAGGACAGATCTTGTGAGAGAGATAAATGAAATTAAAAAAAGATGAAGGAATAATGCAGATTAAACAAAGAGAGTGGGGATAGATAGATAGATAGATAGATAGATAGATAGATAGATAGATAGATAGGGAGCGAACCTGAAAGTAATAAAAAAGAAAAGAAAAGAAAAATTGTTAGAAGGAAGAAGGAAAATTAACAGATTTACCAGAGAGAGGTAGATCAAAATGCCTCAATCAGTTATGTGCCATGCGTGATACACGATTATGAAATCATTCGATATATGACTGACGAGTCAGATTTTTCTCACAGTAGGTTGCCATTTCTTTTAGCGGTAGACCAGTCGCTATCCAAGGCAACACAAACCCGGCCTGTCCTTGCTATTTACCCATAGCTGGAGGAGAGATGACGAGGGTACATACCTTTCCCAAGGGTATTACCACGTAAGTGAATGTAATGGATTCGACTGGAATTCGAACTCGGCTCTTCGATTTCGAGCTGCTATCCATTACTCCACCGTGTCTCCTAACAATAACTAGAGCCTTGTAAAGAGGGAGTGAAATTAAAAAAATAAAAAGTGAAAGAAAGAAAAAAGATTAAATAAAGTAAATAAAGAATGAAATGTGTAGATTAACCAAAGGGATAGTGATAGAGTAACGGAGTCAGAGAGAGGGAGAGAGAGAGGGGGAGAGAGAGGGGGAGAGAGAGAGAGGGAGAGACGGAGAGAGGGAGAGAGAGGGAGAGAGAGGGAGTGAGAGAGGGGCAAGAGAGAGGGAGAGGGAGAGACGGAGAGAGGGAGAGAGAGGGAATGAGAGAGGGGCAAGAGAGAGGGAGAGAGAGAGGGAGAGACAGAGAGAGGGAGAAGGAGAGATAGAGGGAGAGAGAGACGGAGAGAGGGAGAGAAAGGGAATGAGAGAGGGGCAAGAGAGAGGGAGAGACGGAGATAGGGGAGGGGGGGGGGAGAGAGAGAGGGAGAGAGGGAGAGAGGGAGGGAGAGAGGGGGGAGAGAGGGAAAGGGAGACGGAGAGAGGGAGAGAGAGAGGGGAGAGAGAGGGGCAAGAGAGAGAGAGAGAGACGGAGAGACGGAGAGAGGGAGAGAGAGAGGGAGAGAGAGGGAGAGGGAGAGAGAGGGAGAGGGAGAGACGGAGAGAGAGAGAGAGAGGAGGGGGAGACAGATAAACACGAGATCAAGAAAAGTGCAATAAAAAGTAAATAAGCAACTGAAAAAGGAGGGCAATAGAGAGTTGACTAAAAGCGTTCAGTTAAACGAGCGATCGAATGTGAAAAAGAGGTGGAAATTGAGCAACATAGAAGATTGGGAATCACCATCGGGCGTACTGATACCCAACAGAAGGGCAAACTGCCAGTGACTACTTATAAATCTCCTCAGATTGATTTTATTTCGACCAATTTGATGTGCCAAGTGAAAGTTGTGTGTTGATTAGTAATGAAGAGCAGTGACTAGCAGCGACGGGGGGGGGGGGGAAACGGCCGTTGCGGCTAAAGGGGTAGGGAGTCCCCGCTATTGGCACCGATAGTTTGATAGGAAACGAGAGGCGAGAGATAAGGTCTGGCTGGCTGATGAAGCCGGACTTTGGCGGCAACGGCGGAGGTTGCAATCCGAATAGCGTACCTCGTCTATCCAACACACAGACACGTATCACCGACACACACAATGCATGTGTAACATCATACACATTGAGTTCGAAAAATACAAAAGATGTTAGTTATCAGGCCCATAGTAAGACCGTTGCAAATTGAATTATATCAGTACTATTTGTTTTTAATTTCATTAAGATCTGTATAATCGTTCTAATATTCATTTGCTAATTGCATTACGTTCATTTCATTTCCTGTGTTGTCCTATGAGCAAGCAGAAGCAGCAGGTACTTTTTGACCCGTGACTATGATCAGTCTTTCTCTGGTAATAATAACACTTGCAGAATATTTACCTTCAGTTTTAAAATGTTCTTCTTAATGCGATATAAAAAGCAAAGCATCATCATATTCAAACCTAGAAACGGGTTTGGACGTAGGGTCGCTGCGTTGTGGAGCACCGGACCAGCTTCCACCGTGATCATTACGTCGCTACTTTGATATTCCTAATGTGGACATTTCCTCACTCAATAACTTTTTTTTTATTTTCTGTTTTTCGTCATTTGTTAGATCTTTCCTATTACCCATGTTTCAACGTATATTCTGAAAAAATTTTTAAAAATATCATTTATTAGATTTCAGAGTACTTAAACTGATATTAGTTTAATCTGCATAATAAATTCAGACTGCAGTTTTTTTTATAATAAATCCAATAATTTTAAAAAAACAAGTTGAAACTCTCTAAAAATTAAACTCGTGCTTTCTTTTCACGTCTAAATTAATCGCTTAACATTTGACAAAAAAATTGTTCAAAGCAAATTCAGATTATTGAGCTTTATGTGACTTGCATAATAACTTCAGACGGAATGTATATTTGATACAAAATATTACTTATAGATTATTACTATAGATTTTGTTCCAGTGAAAACGGTATTTTGCTACGGCGGAAAATGACAAAAACGAAATGAGTGCGTGGTCCAGTTCAGTTTTGTGGTGGTAAAGCAACGACTCAACTGATAATAGGAAATGCGAGGAGGGTAACTGACAAAATAGTGTCACACGCCCAACCTACTCACGAGCAAAAATCCCAGTAATCAGAAACAAAAACACGCCTGCTTTATACAGCCAAATACCGACCATGATTTGCATGCGAGTGACGAGACAACGAGATTTCGCGTTAACTGTCCGAGACCGCCTGGCATGAAACATGGGCGCCGCCATTTTGGTTCTTTTTACCGTTGAGCAAACCGGAGTTTGCACATCGCACAGATTCGCGGGCGTTTCCGAGGTAGGCCATTTTCACAATTTTCCCCACAAGTTCAAAGGTCATTGGTAATCGAACATGTGAACAACAACGAAGTCTTGGAGAAAATGGAAACAAAAAGGAAAGAAATACTTAATATCAGGAGAATACCCTTGAGGTTTCTGGGGCACACAATGAGGAGGAGGGCTTGGAAAATCTGATACTCACGGGTCAGTGGGCAAGAGAGACAGAAGAAAACAACGTATAACATACTTAGTGAGCTTGAGTAAATGGCTGGTGGAACAGTTTTTACAATAAATCAAATAAATTTAATAAACATGTTGAAACTATCTAAGAATTTGACACTAAATCAATCGTTTAGCATTTGACCAAAAAATGTTTAAAGCAAATTCATGGTCTTGAGCTTTATGTAATTTGCATAATAATTTCAGACGGACTGTACATTTCTTGCAAATCTTTCTTATAGTTTTGCTTTAGACGGACTGTATATTTAATATAAAATATTACTTATAGATTATGGAAAAAGGAAAAATAGTTTTTGCTAGATTTCAGAGGCTTTAAACTGATATTAATTTAATCTGCATAATAAATTTGGTCATTCCATTTTTGTAAGTTACAAATATCTGAAAACATTAAAATTGGCTAAAGATTTCGCTGAAAGCAATGTCATAAAATTTTAAATGTAAATTGTTTGTACGTTTGAAATAATACCTATTCAGTTTAAATACTGTCACAAAATGAACTTTAAGATCTACAGATTTCATCTTATACACTTTTTCTGTTGTTACTAGACAAAACCAAGTATTTGCTCTATCAGCACGGAGGTTCATCCAAATTAGTGCATAAATAGGTAGGTTCTCCAATATGAGTCGATAGATTCATCTATCGTCCGGTTCACACTCCTTCTTGGTCTTTTGGACAGGAGTAGAGGTTTATCCATTGTTTCCTGTTTAGGATTACATTTCCGGTTTCTTCTCGATTCTACTTCAACACTTATACACCTAACGTCTCCGATTAAATTCTGAAATTTATATTTTTCCTAGGTTTCTGGTTTCTTCGAAAAGCTTTTCCTCTTTCACTTCGAGTGACCCTTTGTGCCCTAGTGGCTTTATAACCTTGCTTCGGGTGAATTGATTTTAAAAGTATATTGTGTGTATATATACGTTTGCGTGTGCGGATGTATTTTTTAATTTAATAGTTTAGTTTTTCCATCGGCTTGTGCTGTTAAGCGTCGCGTAAACAGAGCAGCAAAGCGAGTAGCCTGGAAGAGAGATATCTCGTGGGCTCTGAGAGTTTCAACCACTGAGTCGCTCCAGCGTCTTCTTGGTCTGCCTCTCGCTCTCTAGCTAGAGTACCTGAGGGTGCGTTCTCGTAGGGCTGGTTGATTGATAGACATACGAGTGAGGTGTCCGAACCATTTGATCCTCTGTCGTTCGATGTGTTGTATGATTGGTATTGCTCCTACCATATTTTTTATTGCCTCATTCCTGATCTTGTCTCGCCTGGTCTTATTCACTGCTTTTCTCAGGCATTTCATCTCACAAATGATCAGTTTCCCCCAAGTGTTTTTGTTAGGAGACATGCCTGACATGTATGTCAGCGAATTGAATTAACGGTAAAGAACCTTTAATTCAATGGTAGACATAAAAAAAAAAATATTTCTACACATCTGAAAGAAAAAGCATTTAAAATGATTTTATTTATTATAGAATAATTTACAAAAATTTCAATAAAATATTATGACTTTATGTTGTTGAATTTTCTTTTCTTTTCACTAACTTATCTTGACTGATTATGAAAGGAATGTACTATTCCAATATTTATTTTAAACTCATTAATTTTGTATGCCTGTATTTGATCGTGAGTGGATTAAATGGCAAAAGCACATGCAAGTAATTCATGCACGGCATACGCATATATATATATATATATATGATTATGCAGTGTCCAATAGACAAGAATCGGCTATATTATAATTTTAAATACAAAATACACTCGAACAAGAAATACAATTTTTCTAGGCAGAAAACTATCGGACAGAACACTATAAATGCAGAAAAATACGATACCATTTTTCAGAGATTACACAAAAGTGTTTGAAAAAAAGCACGGCATAAAGACCTATTTGAAATGTTAGGAAATTTTGATTTGAATGCGAAAGAAATTTGAGGAATCCAGAACTCTTACTGGGAAGAAATAGTCTGCATGAAAGCTGAAAACAAATTCAGTGAATACGAAAATATAGAAAGAGGAGTGAGACAAGATGCCTTTAAACAACGGATTTATTTAACATATGCTCCTAAGAGAATTAGAGAACTTTACAGTATTTACAGGATTTATTACTACAAGAAATAATGTTGTATAAAGATAGATCATGATAGATCATCATTGTATATAGATAGATTAATATTGAGCCTTGAGTAAATTGAAATCAAATGATATGGCGTTGAAAACTAAACCTTGTGTAAAATAAATGCATTTATTTTAAAGCATAATAATTCATTACATTTATTAACTAGCAACATTCTGATATCTGTGCTTATTTATACTAATGTTCGCACTCTACAAGGCCCAAGAGCCACTCGAGGTAGATGTTTACTGAAGTAGTTTCTTGTGTGAGCGTTAAAAGTAAGAGGTAAGCGGCGTCGTTTATGGGGTTACTAGACAGCTAGTAACCTACTAAGTTTGCGTAACTGGAACAACAATGGATCATAAACACTCAAATCACTTAGGTCACATAGACTTACCTGGCTTATGTCAGAGGGTATTCCCCAGACGAGGTTCTGCCGAGGGGCGGAGTCTCGACTCGGGAAACTGACTCCGTATTTACGTGGTCTATAGGGAATTTTTGCCCGAGCCTACGGGCTCGGATACCCCACGCGTTCGGGTATCCAACTTTCTGGCAGAGTGTTGGCTCAGTTCGTGGTCAGAGACGCGGCTGAGATATACAAAATACTGATAGATACTCGAAACCGGAGAAAAGCTGTCCACGGATGCCCTCTAGAGAGGTGGGATCGGTAGTCATACCAGTGCAATATATAATTTTTCTTTCTGTTCTTTTCCAAGACCAAGAGGAACATCTTAATATCGAAACTAAGAACTAAAGATGTGAAAATCAGAATTTAAAAAGAACATCTTTAGGTACGAACTAGGAAAATTGAAAATACCAAAAGCAAAATTTAAATACCTGGAAGCCTTTTAACATATTTTAAAAGCAAGTATTTAAATATTTAAAAAGGTATTGCTTGTATTTTATTCTTTTAAAAGAGGATTGAAAATGAAGAAGAAACTTCCAAAATTTAAACAAAGTATTTATAAATGTTGTAGAGTAGTTTTCACAGTGGAGGCTTGTATTTCACTAAGTCGGTCCTAAAATAGGTTCGACGTGCAAAACGTTAGCAACTTGAAATCATAGTTAATGACGCAGTAATCTAGTTGTGGTGGTTGATACTTTAATGTCCGACATCGACTGACACACCAACTTACTCCGAGCCTCCTGGCGACTGCTACTACTAATACTTATTATCTGTGGGAGAGTCTATTAACAATAGAATAGGTATGTTCCGGTATAACAATAAGCAAGAAAATTTCGTTAAAATCGAAGCAAAGAATACTGAACTGTTGTGATATCAGTACACCTACATAGCAGTGGATCGTATATTATCTCCTCCCAGATAAAGAAGAGACTTGAGGTAACAGAGATGTGGTTCTACAAAAGAATGCTGAGAATATCATGGACAGAACATGTTAGCAACGACGGAGTTTTATGAAAAACTAGACTATCCGTGACCCCTTGGGTCACTGACGGTTCAAGTTATAAACCATTGATTTCAACATTAAAGAAATTATCTGTTTGAAGAAAGCTGAAAGAGAAATACTTATTGTATAAACAACACGTATTTTAAAATCTGATTCACTTAAAATAATTTTAAATCCAATTAACTTAAAATATATTTTATATGCCAAAAAATATTTTAAAATCATATTCACTTGAAAATATTTTTAAATGTGGCAAAAATTTTTTTTAAAATATTTAAAATATTGTTTGCTTAAAGAAAGCTGAAATATAAATAAGCACACACGCAATCACAGTGAGGTGGAAGAGAGAGGTGGAAAGAGAGAGAGGGTGGAAAGAGAGAGATAGATGGAAGGAGAGAGCGGTGGAAAGAGAGAGGTGGGAGAAGAGAGCGGTGGAAAGAGAGAGAAGTGAAAGAGACAGGTGGAAAAAGAGAGAGGGTGGAGAGAGAGAGGTGGAATGAGAGAGAGGTGGAAAGAGAGAGAGGTGGGAGGAGAGAGCGGTGGAAAGAGAGAGAGGTGAAAGAGACAGGTAGAGAAAGAGAGAGGGTTGGAGAGAGAGAGGTGGAATGAGAGAGAGGTGGAAAGAGAGAGAGGTGGGAGGAGAGAGCGGTGGAAAGCGAGAGAGGTGAAAGAGACAGATGGAAAGAGAGAGCTGAAAAGAGAGAGAGAGAGAGAGCTGGAAAGAGAGAGAGGTGAAAAGAAAGAGATAGAAAAAAACTTAAATATTTATCCGCCTGACAGCCGACGTATGATTCACAGATTTTTATTATTATATAGACGTGTTAAATAATAGTTTACCCGACTATTATTTTTAGCGGGAATGGTATCTCTGCTCGGACTTCCTGAGGCTGACCTCAGGGATCCGATAGAAGACAAAACAAGGAAGTGGATTTTGATTGGATGAACAAGCGTGCGAACAACAGATAGAGAAAGGGTTTTCAGTGAGTTGTTTTTTGACAGTCAATTGATGTTTCCTTTCGTGTCTGGAATCGCTTCCAAGTAGAGTGAGAGAGCGACCCCACTGGATAGTTAGAAAATGTAAGAGTCGGGGATTTAATAAAGAAGATAAGTTAACATTGTCTGTGTTGAAGTTTTTTTTTTTTTTCATCGGTAAACCAAAACACCGACCGGGAGAAAACGAGATAGTGAAGGTACAACATATGAGTGATTCGACACCGTCGCTAAGACCTCCCCAGAACGAGGCTGCTATGCAACATATGGAAACAAAAATAACGCTTATACTTAGAACCAGAAAGTGACAATTCAAATTTCTAGGACATATAACAAGAAAAAGTACTAAACATAATGAGGACAGAAGGACATTAGAATAACCTACCTAACAAGCTGGTAAAAATGGATGAGAGAACTGCAACGGATGGTGAAAACACAAATTACTAAGAGCTGTCTATATTTCTGAGATGAGGTATTATGTACATTATTTACATTATTCGGACTATTGTCCTCATCTTTGTCGCCATATTTCGGACTTCTTCAGGTGGTTCGAACCGAACCCTTTATATTCGCTCACTGGTAGACTGTTCAAGTTCCACGTGCCATGTTTAATGGATGTCAGTTATCAGTTATCTCCTGTTATTTTTTCCCTCTGAAAGTTCTCCACTGCCTTAGCCGGGTATTGAACTCACACTCTTTGGGTTATATCACTGAATCTAACCAACGCCTTTATGTCCTTGAGGACATCTGTGTATGAATTTCTGTGTATAATAAACCTAATGTCTTCAGCAACATTTTTACCAGTGCTCATATTGCAATTTTTGCTGTTATCATTCCATGTTTTTACCAGAGTTCATATTGCAACTTTGTTGTTAATATCGCTTTTCTTTGGCACTCCTTATTACTAGTGTGGCACCATGCATCCAGGCGATTTGAAAGATATATTTATAGATATATGATTTGCTTTTTTACGGTTTATCAACCATTTGAGGATTATTTAAGGCCGAAATGTATTTTAGGTTTTAAGAATAATTCTTTCTTTTTTTTTTTTTGCAAGAGGATTGAACCGCCATGCATTCAGGTGATTTGGAAGAAAGAAAGAGAAAACGAAGAAAAGGGAAAGGAAAAAGTAATACGAGACGGGTCATAGGCGAACACACACACACACGGCTTAAGAGACGGGAATAAGAAAGAAAAGGGTTATTTTTGATAGGTATCAAATGTCGAAAAGTGTTTCATTTCAATGACAATGAGATTGAGTGGGCGAGGAGGTGTTATCAATATCTAGGCCAACTGCGAACAAGCGTTGACCGATTTCTGCTTATCCGCGAAAAATGGAATTGTGTTATCAAGAGATGTCACCAAAGAAGAAGTCCACTTTGGAACGTTAGACGAAACACAGGTGCGGCTTGGGGCCTTGGCTGGGTATGGAAAATTAAAATCCCACACAAGAAGTTTCACTGGCTAAGTTTTTTTTTTGACAGAATAGACTTTTGCCCTGCGATAATAAAATTTTGTTATCAAACACATGAACCGAAGGAAACTGACATATTTTTATTTCTGCTTTGGAGACGCCAAATTGGCGAAAAACTTGGAGAAAATTCCTTTCTTAGACCATGTCAGATAATCCAGCTGTCCAGTGCATTACCGATAAACTGCTTGACAAACGCCACGTGTTGAACAGAGAGTTGTCACATTAACCGCCCATGATAACGGCGATTTGAAAGAAAGAAAAAAAAAAGAAAGAAGAGAGATCATTAATTTTTTTTAGTTAAGCAAGGTATATTTCTTTTCCAAAACAAAGCCACGGGTTGTTCACGCCCGACTAAGACGTCATTGGCCAAGTGGTGATCACATGACGCACGAAGGAGGAGGAAAGATACCCGACCAGGACCTCATTGGCCGAGAGTGGTCACGTGACGCCCGAAGAAAACAGTCAACGCCCTATCCAGAGTATAAGTATGAGAAGCCGCTACGAAGAAGTGGAGGGGCAGTTCACTCCCTCAGAAGCATGGTGAGAAAGTGGGGTGAGAAAGAGTTACCAAAAATGGAAAAGAGTGGAAAATCCCTAAATAGAAATAAGAAGGGTGGATATGTATTTAGAATTATCGAGGAACCTCCGACGCCAAGCAAACCCACCCCGTTTTGACGGCGTCAATAAAAACGAAGCCCCACCAGACAGAAATCAGTTCGTCGGACTCTGGCAGAGTTAGTTCAGTTCGGCCCTGACGGAGGTTAGTTCAGTTCGTCGCCTGGCAGGCGACGGCGACGGGATGAGTGCCGAGTTCGTCGGACTCTGGCAGGCAGAGTTAGTTCAGTTCGTTCGACCCAGGCGGGCAAAGAAGACAGTTAGTTCGCGCACCGACGGCAGAGATGATAGATCAAGATAGCTGACCAAGATTCACGCAAAATTTTGGACTCTTCTTCAACCAAGAACAATTAGTTTGAAGAGCGACTTAGAACCAGACCACAGAAATAAGTTTTCGACTTTCGTCCAAAGACACACCCGAAACACCAATTTCTTAGAGAGCAGACAACGAAGTGTTAAAACTTGCCTAGCGAAAGCGACGTGCCACAATCCACAGAACGGGTCGGGAGATAGATGCAGTCCTATGTACTGAACAACTAGACATAAAAGTTTATTACCTTTTTTCTTTGATACTTTTGAACTTTTGAGTTTCATTTTATTTTCTTTTATGCATATTTGTGTGTTATCACCCCATTGAACTCAATTTGCATTACGGCCCCAACCCCTGTTTGATCTCGTCTGTCTAAGATCAATTCACAACGTGGGTAGGCAGACTGGAGATCAGTGCAGTTACCCTGGTAACCAGGCGTTGGAAGCGGGTTGGGAACGGCGAGGCTGATATCAAATCTAACCAGATTCCTTCCCGAATCACCAAAGGGTTAGAACGTCACGCTTGGAGCAGCGACAGCCGGACGGAGCAGCGAGGAGCGAACAGCTGGCGCCGCGGCAAAGACGTCACAACTGGCGCCGTGGTGGATCAGGATAGAACGACACAGTTGGCGCTGCGACCGGGGGACTACGTCACACTAGTTCCCATCCGAATAATGTAAATAATTTACTAAGATCTACAAAGGCTAGGGAGCTGTGTAGTGTTATGATCACCTTTGTTTTTTTGTTTTTTTTTTGGTTTGGTTTGTTTAAAAGCATATCAACTCCTTATGGTAAATGTATTGCTGGTAATATTTTATTGTTATGAAATTGTATTGCTGGTAATTTTTCCAGTGTATTTTTATATTTTCATGTGTTGACGTCAGGTTGGTTGTTCACTATTTGACCATAGCTGGGAACATAATAGATGCTAGCACCCTGGGTCAAGATGGACCTGGAAACAACAGCAATTAAGGGGCATTTCCACGCTCCTCAAAACCTCCTGATCAAAGGCCTTGAAGGCGAATGTAGTTTATTTCCATGTCCAGGAAGTGACACCCCGTGCCCTGAAGAGATACAACACAGAAGAAGAAAAACACTCAAAACCAATCCGGAAGTCAAATCAGGAATGATCAAATCACCCATACTTAGAGTTCCGGGTGCGTTCATTAACAAGTCAATAGTCCTGTCTGCCTCCAACGAATTGGAATGTAAATTTATGTTTATTTCCTAAGGTTAACGCAGGCTACTACAAAAAGAATGAATTGAATATGAGATTGTCGTGTACCGTTGCTAGTGACAAATGCCGCTTAATTTTTTACCTGTGTTCGAACAGGTTTTGGACGATTTACTTCCATGATAAATATTAAAGAACTGAGGTCATTGAATACTAATAAAAACTGACACAAGGCTACAGTACCCATTAATATATTAACTGTCTATTATTGGTCAGTCGGAGACACGGTGGAGTAATGGACAGCAGCTCGGATTAAGGCGACCGTAAAGCCGAGTTCGAATTCCAGTCGAATCTATTACGTTCACTTACGTGCTAATACTTTTGGTGAAGATGTGAATTTTCTTCTCACCTGATATGGGCAAATTGCAGGACAGGCCGAATGGCAACTGGTCTACCACAGAAAGAAATGACTATCTACTGCGGGAAAAATATGCTTCGTCGGTCATGTATCAAAACATACATGATCGCCTAAGCGTGTGTCACGCATGGCACATAACTAAACTGATTGGTCAGTCTGATCATTTTGTTAACTATTACACCATAACCGCCTCCCTGTGTCTTTTCTATTTTCCTAAGTTATTTTGTTGATACCCACGTTTCAGTAGACGTCCCTTTTTTATAGTGTCTATTACGTCTACCGGACTGCTCAATCGAGATTCACACAGTTTTAAAAAGCGGTAGGACATCTTAAATTTGCGTATCTACAAAATAACGTTTAGTGTAGTTAGAAATACTGCTGCCTAAATATAAAATATATATATATATATATATATATATATATATATATATAGTTGTATATTTAGGCACCAATCCTTCCATTATGCATGTTTCATTGAAAACGACAAACAAGGTACTACGGTTAAGCTTTCTATTTAATTGTTCTTGTGTTCGAACAAGAGCTTTCTTTTCTGGACAAAGAGCGTGAAAAAACTGTCCAAATGTTTTATAGTTCCGAGCGCTTTCGGCTATACCTTTAGCCATTATCAAGGATGATTCGAATTTTCAGTTTAATTGAGTGTGTGCGTTCTGTGTATGTCTTAGCGTGTGGTAGGGATGTTTTTCATTTCCGAATACGTTCCGAATACAGTTGTTACACACCCATTGTCCAGAAAAGAAAGCTCTTGTTCGAACACAAGAAAAATTAAATAAAAACCTTAACCGTAGTACCTTGACTGTCGTTTTTAATGAAACATGCATATATATATATATATATATATATATATATATATAGAGAGAGAGAGAGAGAGAGAGAGATCAGTCACTTTCACACCACCGAATGGTGGCGTCTCTGTGTCATTTCTATAAATATATTCATGCTAATTGTTCAGATGAGATCTTAGGTATGGTACTAAACTTTTTTTTTCCATTTAAGCTCAGTACTAAGCTAGCGTAGAGATCTAATCATTTTAAAGTTAAGTTGGGTAGATGTAACCGCAAGTCCTATTGTATTTCCCTTAAACTCCTTGATAAAATCCAAAGAAGAATCAGCAATATTATTGGTCTTGATCTGGCGTCTCGGCTTCATTCACTTTCTCGCCACCGTAAGGTTGCTTCCCTGTGGCTTTTCTATAAAACTTTTATGATAATTGTTCAGATGAGATCTTAGCTATGGTACGTAGACTTTTTGAATTTATGCGATCCCATCAATTTAGAGTTAAGTTCGCTAGATGCAAACATATGTTCTATTATATTTCCCTTAAGCTCCTTGATTAAATCCAAAGAAAAATCAGCTATATTAACAGTCTTGATCTGGCGGCTCGGCTTCAGTCACATTTCCATTGTCGTAAAATAGCCTCCCTCTGTCTTTTCTATAAATACGTTCATGGCAATTTTTCGGATGAGCTCTTCGCTATGGTACATAGCCTTTTTTTTTTAAAGCGCAGTACTAGTCTGGCGTCGAGATCCCATTAATTTACAGTTAAGCTGACTAGATGTAACTGCAAATTCTATGCTCACAATTCTCGCACTTCTCGCTTGTTAAACTCTCTTCCCACCCCTTGTTTTCCAACGACTTTAATCTCCAAAAATTTAAATGCAACGCCAACTGTTATCTAATGTCCCGCTTACTCTTTTCTCTTCAGCACATTAATAATGTTTCTCTTCCTGATTCTTCCACTCTCAGTAAACCCTTTGTGTTTTAGTGGCTTTACTGACTTGCTTGGGGCGAAATCGATTATAACAAAATAGAGGTTAAAATATTAGTCATGCATCGCGTTTAATAGTAAATTCATTTTTACCGCGGGTGAAGAAAAATGCCAATATTATCATTGTTTTCTATACATAGCAATAACAAAACATCTATCTGTTGGAAATCCCACCACTCCAAGAAACTTAAAACATTTTGCTCTATTCTGGGATCTATTCAGTATCTCCACTCTACCTTCCCTATGCTTCTCCAACATAGCGTGTGATTTCTCCATCTGCCGGACGGGCTATGACGAACAATTGTGCCTTAGCGATTCATGTTTTTTCTATCACCTCGAGAACTCATTTTCCAATTTTCCGACAATGACTATCCGACCATACGAGAAAGGAAAAATCGTCATTTCCGTTTGCTTGTCATAATTGTAATCTTCTTCTTTTATATAGTATTTCCCTTCAAGGCGTCGAGATCATGGCTCTCCATACCTTGCTCTCCTTTGTAACTCTAAGCAATGTTTGGCCGCTTATCACCGTTCTCACTCACTGTTCAGCCATTCATTCACACAAACACGTTTCTATCTGCCCCTCTTGCCTTCAATATGCCCCGTGAGTGTCAAATTCTTTAAACTCGCTTTCCTCTGTATGTGTCCGAAACATTTCAACAGTTTCTTTCTGATTTTAAATATATGTGGACTTTTTGTTCCATTTTTTAAACTTCTTCATTGCTGATATCTTCCATCCATGTTATCATTCTGGAAAATTATTTTTTATATCGCTTCAAGTCTCATATTTTAAAGATAATTTAATCTTTTCTATAATCTTTTCAATAATCTTTTAATTTTTTCTGTTATCTTTTAATCTTTTCAAGCCTCATGTAAGATATAAGCGAAGAAATTGCCTACGAAAAAATTGGCATATTCTTTGCTTCCAACGACATTTTTTCTCTTAATAATGGAATATTCGAACACTAAATCATCGTCTCCAGAAGAAAATATAAAACAGGAAATTAACAGGTCAAATGTCAATATTTTAGGTATATGTGAAACGAGATGGACAAACGATGGAGATTTTCTCATTGACAAAGAGAATATCATAAGTCCAGGTGGAAAGAAAAATGAAGAAATCGCAGGATTAATATACATGAAGAAATGCGTTCTGAGATATTGTCAATTACTTGAAAGGATACTTGTCGTTAAACTGAAAGGAAAGCCTTTCAACATTATAGTTTTATATGCAGTGACAGCACAAGGAGGAACAAAAGAAACAAAACAAAAACAACAAACAAAAAACTAAACAAAAAGAAATCTAAAAATTATCTCTACGATAGACAGCTCAATGCAAATCGCAAGAAATTATATTTGCCATGGGAAACCTGAATTCTAAGGTAGACAACGAGAGAGATTGTTAAGTACTAGCAGCATGGCCCGGCGTTGCCCGTGCTTGATTCAAAAATCGTACGACTCATACAGCAATCGCTATCACTTGAGTTAAAATATTTTTGCCCTTCCTTGCCTTTAAAGGAGTGCCCTTTGTCGTGCTGATGTTGCTACATGCCTTACGTATGCCTTATCTCACGCTGCGAATTTTTTTAAGCTCTATACTAAACATTAAATCTGTTACGAAAAAAAGAACTAAGCAAAATGAACACAAAACGATCAGCTTTAAAAAAAGAACTCGTAACTGGAAAAACCTAATGAAAAAAGAATGTTAACAACAAATACTTTTTCACACCCAACCCAGTTCTGCGGAATCAGAATCAAAAATATTCCACGATGAAAGAGAACAGCCGGCAATACAGAGAAATACTGACGCGTCAGAAATACTAAAAAACGAAGAGGCAGTTGCATTAGATTCAAAACAGCAGGGCCAGACGGAATTGTAATGGCGATGCTGGCAGCCTTAGACGAGATCGGTACAGACAAGATTACAGAAATAATAAATGAAATCTACAAAAGTTGTGATATATCGACGTGGTGTAATGGTTAGCAAACCTGTCTTGCTAAAACGGTTACGACTAAATAGTGAGTTCGATCCTCACTGGGTACCCCATACATTCAGTCTTGTGACAAATCTAAGCTACGCTTAGAAAATCGATATGTCGGAAGACCTAAGCAGATCTATTTTCATACCACTGTCTTAGATACCAGAGGCAAAAAAATGTGAATTCCATCGGACAAATCAGCCTGTAACATATAGCAAAACTTATCATCCGAATTCTGATGAATAGGGCACGCAGCAGAATCAGACCGGGAATGGGATAAGAACAGTGCGGGTGCGTCAAAGACACTGGAACAAGGAATGTAATATTTATGCTCAGAATAAAACACAAAGAGCAATACTAATACAGGAGGAGGTATACCCGTCTTTTATAGATTACACAAAGGAGTGCGATAAAGTACGCTCAAAAGATTTGTTGGAACGGCTCAGGAATGGTATTATCGGAATGGTACTAGAATAATCAAGAACCTACACTGGCAACACACCGCCTGCATACGGATAGAGAATGAGTTCAGCAGATATACAAAAATATACAGGGATGTAAGCGAATGATGTGTCTTCTCACCGGGCATCAAACCTATACAGCAAAGCGATTCTGTGAGAATTAGAAGTTCTACTGGGATTTTTCATTGGTGGTCACAATCTTACCAACATAAGGTGTGCATATAACACATTCTTGGTAGCAGACACGCATAGAAAACCCCCAAAAATTCAAAATAAGATAGAGATGGAAAGCGAGAAATAAGGATAAAAAATTAACCGTAAGAAGACAGAATGCATGGTCGTCAGTAAA